TAAAAACTGTGGAAAAGCATGTAACGTGTGCCAACTGACTATTTGGTCAATAGTGGAGTTTTTCTAATTCTGGATCTTACTGGCCAAGTCCACTAATTATACTGGAAAAAAAGACGTCTGTTATTGGGAATATTCAGCACTGACTAGTCTGTTGTTGAGTGGGCTTAATGTACAGTATCTTAAAAAAGTATCTGCCAGGATGAGTCCGATGACTTCCAAAATGCCACATGTAACGCGTGATGTCCCGGTAGTGTTGGTATGCGTGGCTCTGTGGCATACTGATCCTACTACAATTGGTAACTGAACGCCATATTGATTACGCCGAAATAAATACACATTGCATTACATGTGTTAGACTATAACCGTATACCAAAGCAAATGATTGTGCCAATATCTATCATCTGTGGTCTCATAATGTTTCACACAGGGTGTGGACAGATACTTTTTTTTTTTTAAATACAGTACATAGGGAATTTCCTGTGCTGTTTGAAAAGGCACAGTGTCAGTACACTTACACCTGAAATAACTCAGATTTTGAGACAAAAAAGAGTGTCTAATTCAGGCACCCTGATCCCACTTATTCATTTTGATGCCCAATGTTCTATATTGGTTGTTCTGGGTACCAGTTAATATTAAACCATGGGTTTGATTATAATTAGGTTAATCTATGTGTTCTTTAGTTAATTTATTTAGAGTACTGCACAGTATATATTGAATGTATAGTACAGGAGAAGCTTTGTAATAAATACAGCACACACTTTGAACAGTAATAAGGTAAAGGATCATTGATTTCTTTTCATTAGAATGAAGAAGACATTCAGAGTAGCCATTCAACTCAAGTTCCAGGAGTCAAACCCAGGAAGCAGAGATGTGTTACTACACCTTCCACTACACCCGCTTCACTGGCCAAAAGAGACAATTGCTCCACACCTCCACACAACCCAAAGTAAGCACATCATCATCATTATTTTACAGCAATATTCCACAGTTGTGTGGGAAAACCAGAATTATCTGATGGTACAGTACAGTACAGTACAGTAGACTTGCAACTTACGCAGATTTTTCTTAAGCGGTTTCAACTATATGTGGATTACCCCGGGGGTTAGGTTACAATTTCCAATTTCAAGCTCAAAATTTTCAAAATGGGTCGCAAGCTCGCCAAACGCACCACCCTGCCACCTCTGTCTGCCTCAATTGCCTCACGTGTATCGTCGGAGTAACAGCTGCCTCTCGTGTGTGTCAATTTAGTGCGCTTAAACCTCTCTCATACTTGTTCATAATGCCCAAACACAAGCCAACCTCTGCCTCTGGTCCTCCAGCGAAGAAACAACGCTTTATAATGACCCGAGAAGAAAAAGTGGCCGTGTTAGACTTAATAAAAGGCGGCTTGTCGATCGTTGCTGTGGCACAGAGGTACGGACGGAACGAATCAAGCTTGAGATCCATCAAGATTCAGGAGAGGGAAATTCGTGAAACTAACAGCTTAAGGAACAAGGAGCTGGAGGATGCTCGCCCTACAAGGGGTCACAGCTCAAGATTGAAGAAACCGCAAATCTAGAAAACTGTGAGGGCTAACTTTTTCGGAGTGAGAGTTGTGAACTCCTGGAACAATCTACCAGAAAGTGTTGTGACGGCACTGAGTGTGAGCTCTTTCAAGACCAGACTTGACCAACACTGGAGCAGGTTCAGGTACATTCAGGAGCCGGTGCATGCCCAGTACTTGCCAACAGTGCATAACAGAGACGTGACCAATCGCCCAAGCCGCTAACGAGTCAATCAGTGGTGAAGAGGATAAAACAAAAACAAAAAACGACAGCTTCCCATCACCACGTTCTTTAAGAAAACCTCAGCATCAACATCGTCAGCAGATCATCCAACGCCCTCAACTTCTCGCAGTGACCTTGAGCTGCCCACATCCACCCCTGCATCATTATCTGAGCTTGACGATCCCCCCACGGTGACATGGGAAAAGGATGAATAATCTCAAAACAACAACACAGGTCTGTCTACATAATGTGTGTACTATTAATGCTGTTATGCACTTGTTACAGATATTGATATTACATTGCATTAAAGTAGTGATTTAGGAGTTCTAGTGTACAGTATATGTACGTATATATAGTGATTTAAGGGCGATGTAGGGGATTTTTAGGAGTGTTTCTGACTTTTCGCGGGTCCCAGGAACGTAACCCCAACATAAGTTGCGAGTCTACTGTATATGTTCAGATAGCCATCAGGTAAATTATCAGTAAGTTTTATGGCTGGATGCTCTTCCAGTCATCAACCCATTTTTTACACATTGGGAAAGGGGCATTACAGACTTTCCCTGGGTTACAACTGTCTGACATACAATCATCCGCCCTAACGAACAGGATTCCATTACATTCATTGAAAAATTTATACACTAATTAACATCCCAATTTTTACATTACAGTAGTACCCCGCTTAACGCGGTCAATAAAACCCACAGGGTACCGTGTTAAGTGAAAACCGCGCTAAGTGAACAACAGAACATATGGGATTAATTCCAATAGAAACTGGCCCGACCCCCAACTCCACTTTTTGACGACACACAACTAAGTTGTAGTAAAAATTTTATCTTAACTTTATGATGGTATGAACAAACAAGTAATATAGAAGAGGTTAGGTTAGGAAAAATAAAGGTTAAGTTAGGAAAAATAAAGGTTAGGTTAGGAAAATTAAAAGTTAGGTGTAACACTCGTTAGTAGAAGACACACACTGCGCAACCTTACAGCGCGGCTTGCCCAGGCGGAGGGAGGCGGGAGGGAGGGAGAGGCGAGAGCAGGCAGGCAGGCGGGTGGCGGGTGGGGCGAATCTAAAAATAGCGTCTCGAGCCGGACACTCACCGCGTATACCTGTACGTGGAAAAAACCCGCGTTAAGTGAAAGTTCGGCTCTGGCGAGGCACCGCGTATACGGTAAAACGCGCTAAGTGAAACCGCATTAAGCGGGGTATTACTGTACTTTTATTGTTCTATATGTTTAACATCACTTTATTTACAGTATTTATGATATTTGTTATGTTTGGAATATTATTGGGTTTTTTTATGGGCAGGGTTGTGCTTTAACCTAACCTAAACTATGAAATTAACACTGATGTCTTATGGACAAATTGACTTATGATCAGGATCCTGGAAAGTATCCATGTCGTAAGTCAGGGACTGCCTGTTTGTGTAGCATTTCCGAGTGTTTTCTTAGGTGGCAAGGCAGATCACTACTCTCTTAAGTTAATTTTATTAAAAACTATTAGTACCGAGTATACAGTATTTAAAAAAAAATCTTTTTTCAATTGTATCATTTCAAATTCATATCATTTTGAAAAATTCAAAATTCGTGCACCGCCGTCACTACTTTAAGTAATGTCTATAAACAGTTTCTTCCACCACATCAAGTGAATGTTAAATTCTCTTTGTTTAATACACATTGTATTTTCATGCATAGATAAGGCTTTGTTGAACTTGCTTTGTTATTTAATAAAAATAAAAATTGCTCATTGGTACATCTGCTAGCATACTACGATGAGCTCTTAAACTGTTTTGTTCCTGCTGCCATTAACTAATATTTCATTTTTTCTTAACATAATTGTTGTTCACCTTTGATAAATGAGGAATAATTCAACAATATTTATAGAAATGTTTAGATACCTGGTTAAAAGGACCAAAAAATCTACATAAGAATTACCACATATACTTCATATCTAACTGTCTACTGTACTGTACATGTACTGTACTTGACACTTTGTTTGAGGCACTACTTTAGTAATTTATCACAATGTTCCTTTACTCCGAGGTAAAGATTACATACACTGCAGGTGTTCTAATACGTTATACTGTACAGTACTGTATATTTATGTCTATCAGCACAAAAAGACATTACAAAAGTGTCTGGATGGAAGATAGTGTACTGTATTAGGACACCCATCACCTCACCCAGCTAATGCCAACACAACCTTCTTGAACTGACACCAAATCTCACAATTTATGCCTTTTTGCCTCCTAAAAAATTCCTGCTAATTGTTATCCTATCCTGGCTGAATTACCAAAGTTTGTGGATTTGCAAAATATATAAGGTACAGTACTAAAAATACATGAAAATATACTAATATGAGGGCCCTCATTCTTCTTTTAATTGCTATAAATATAATCAGTTATACGTACTGTATAGCAGTTTTTATTACCAATTTTTTTTATTCTTATACCATAATCGGTTATATATATATATACAGTATACATAAACAGCTGCTCCCCGACCTACGACGGTGTTCGGGACCGACATCCAGGTCGTAAGTCAAAAATGCTTAAATAATGCATAGAAAATCTAAAATTGGGGTCTCTTTTTCTTCTCAGCACCACAAAACACTCACTTTTAAGCTTGCCAGCCATTTTAGAGTGAATTACAGATGAAAATTTTGTCTGTGTACTGATTTTGGGACTCAAAAATACGTAATTTGACCAAATTTTGGTACGACTGAGGCAGGTCGTAAGTGCGGGTGGATGTAGGTCGTAAGTCGTGTGTGTGTATGTGTGTGTGTGTGTTGATTTAAGGTCGATTTAGGGGAATTTTAGGAGTGTCTCTGACTTTATGCATTTTTGGCTTTACTTTGTATGTACTTTTCTGTTAGCTGGAACCAATTACCCAATATCCCATTGAAATAATGGATTCGGTTAACGAACGACTCTGTGGAACGAATTGTGTTCGTTAACTGAGGGACCACTGTATATGCACATTTGACAATTTGTGGGAGGAAATAATACATTAAATATTAATTCTGTACAGGACAGTAATTTGAAATATCTGCTAGCAGACGATGTGCCTGCTTGGACTGCCATCTGTTGAGGACAGGGAACTACATTTTCATGAACTGATTATTATTATTTTTTAATTATACTGTTTATGAAACCTGATGATATTGTGTGTATATGTGTGTGTTAAACAGCAAAATTGCATTGTGACTAAATAATATATTTTCTCCCCCCCACCAGAAAATTGTGCTCTTCAGTGCGTAAAAAACGCCTTACCTTTGCGGGTATGTCCCCCAGTTCCTCAAAGGAAAATATAAACACTGACTATCTGTATAATGAGAAGGTTAAAGGTAAAAGATTTGCTTCAGACTCCTCAAGCCATGAGTTCCTTCCGAAGAGATCAAGATATAGGTCTGGATCCTTCTCCTCAGGTTCTGAGCCAGATACACAAGACTCTGACAGATCCAGGAAAGCATATCATTCTCGATGTTCAGAGCCAATGTATAAGTTGCCTTGTTTTAAACGATCTTTGTGCTCATCACACTTTACAGCACCAGTAAGTCCACTTAAGCAGAAGAATGGCCCAATAAATGGCACTTACTTGCCCTCCTCAACCTCCCAGAGTGAATATTTTGACAGTGGAACACTTTGCCTAAAACTCAAAGACAATGAAATGAGTGTTTCACAAAAGAGTTTTGGTGATTTAGATAAAGACAGTAGTAGTGAATTATTGCATGCCAATCCAGATTGTATTAAAATTGCATATTGCAAGAACAGCAATGCTGATGAAAGTAGGAAAAACCTCATTGATGAGACTCCGTTGAGTAGTGGCGAGTCAGTAACCTGCAAAAGCAATACTGTACGTAACTTCGAAAAATACCAATGCTTCACTATTGAACAAGAAGGATGTTTTAACTTTTTGAGTGATAATTGTGAGAAAAAAGAATCACCTGTCAAGTTTGGGGCTGAAATTAGTACTTCACCAAGACACCTATACAGACACCCTCTCCTCAATAGTCCCTCATATTTTTTAGTGACTGATGCTCTTGTGACCGCATCTGCATCATCACAAAGCAGTTCCCCTGTGTACCACAACACTAAAATAGATTGTAAAACTTTTGAGGATCTGAAGGAATTAAATATGCAGGATAAGGTGCCCAGTCACTCAAATTCAAAGTTCTTACCTCTAACACTAGATATCAGCTCCCCCTTAAAAGAGGATGTTGCATGTGGAAATTCAAAGATATTTGATGAACTTCAATGTGTTCCACAAGGAGAAAAAACATTACTTGTCAGCTCTCACACCAACATATCAATGCAGGAGTCAGATACACCTACTAAGGGATTGCACATACCAATACTGTCAACCACATCAGAGCAGTCACCAGCAGTATCTAGAGTGTGGTCACTTGCTCCTGGTCTACAGGTAAGAACATTTTAAGTTTAGATAAAATATATTTGACTAACAGATTACTGTACCAAACAAACATTGTGAAGATTCTGTTAATATATATTTTAAAGTATATGTATATTTCTTCAAAATTGCAACTATACTTGGATCCCATTATTTTTCAGGATTTGGAATCTAAAACACCAAGTTGTACTCTGATACCTACAAAAAGACTCAGTTCAAGTTCCCCAAGTCAACCTTCCTTGCCTGAACTCTTAAAACCTGGTTCATCTAAGCAAGACTTTGTGACTTCCATCCAAAAATCCTATAAAATGAGGGACATGGTACCATCAAAGACTGGAGCATTAGGATTCGATGGGCTTAAGTCTTTCATCACTCCAGAAGGAAGGTCTTATGTGTATCCTTTAGGTGCTCCTAGAAAGATTTCCAAGCCTACTTCAAGACAACAGCCTCCTCGGTGTAAGCGCAGCCTTGTGAGGTAAATGTTGTGCATGTTTTGAAATAAGTGTAAGAGTATTAATGACCTACAGATTATTGAGGGATTTACCTGTGGGATTCATATTGCCAAACCAACCTAGAAAGACTTTAGGTCAAGGGATCAAAATTCACATGGAGACTCAGGGGTCACTTTTTTTCTTATCTGATTTATCATTCTCATAGATTATGTCCATTCTCCTTGAGCAACGCACGCACGCACGCACGCACGCACGCACGCACGCACGCACACACACACACACACACACACACACATTGCATATCCAGGCAGAGTTGTATAAAGTATCAAACTTTGTTATGTACATAAAAGTATTGTTACAGTGGCAAAATGTTACTAGTAGAAGTAAAGAAGTATCTCATTCATAAAGTACTCAAGTGCTGACAGTAAAGAGTAACAACAAAATTATTAATCATCTCAACAACTCAAATATTAAAATAGATCCACAGTAAATTATAAAAAAACTAGTAAACTTGAGATAAAAATAAAAGATTTAGCATTACATATGTTTATTTGCAAATTTTTCTATTTATATTAATCAGTAACTGATTCTCAATATTATGGTTGTCCAATCAGGATCTTTTAGGCCTAAATATAAGCCCAGCATGACTAAACAGCACTCGCAAGAAAAGGCACCTGATTTTCATCACTCAAACCCAGAAAAAATAACTACCCCCATCCCCCAAATTTTTCGGGTATCGGGAAAATTTTCTCGTCATTTTCTGGAAAATGTGCCCCTCGGAAAATAATTCCCAAAGCCAAAATTTTCCGGAAAATTCCGGCTTTGGGAATGATTTTCTGAGAAAATTTCAATTCCAGCTATCGGAAAGTTCTGGGTTTGAGGGATTCTGGCTAAAGGAGATATTACTCCATGTGTGTGTATGTAATGGTCAGCATGCTCACCTCGCAAGTGAGTGGACTCAGGTTCAATCGTGGGCAGGGTAAAACTATGGGCAAATTTCTTTACGCCATTTGCCTCTGTTTACTTAGCAGTAATTGAGAACCTGGATGTTAATTGATTTGCTGATCGTGTTCCGGGGTAATGGTTAGCCAGTGCAGCTGGCGAGCTGTCCGGTCTTCTCAGACTATTACTTGACGCTGGGTCATGCAGCTCGTTAACTCAGGGTGTGGTTATTGTGTTAGCAACAGCTTCTACACCTTAAACAAATTCACGCTTAGGTGGCCCTAGGGCCAGCAGCCACCCTCGTTACACAAGGGGCAACCATTATTATTATTTTTTATTTATTTTTTTTGTTATCTACTTTACAGGCAGTTTGCCTCAGATGTTACCACAGTGTTCAACACTCCTCCAGATTCTCCTGCCAGGTAAGACTGATTCTTTTCTTTGGTAGACAATTTGATTTTGTTAAGTTCTTAGTTAGAGTACTGTACCTATATAAACATGCCCATTATTTTCTTAATACCTTACTTGTGTACATGATTTAACCAGTGTGCAGACTGATGACTTACTTAAAACCTTAAGATACCAGACTTTACATAACTAAAGCTACAATGAGCATATAATTGACTGATGACTATTTCCTGTGAGAGTCATTCCTTGTGGTAAAATTATTTTGAAAAACTGTCACTGAGATAAACTTCCACTACACCAATTCTTCCTTCTTGATGATAATACATTACTGTATTGTACTCACATTCTTCCATTATGGTAATACTGTACTGTATACTGTACTCACTCATTCTTCCATAATCGTATTGAAAAGTTGAAGCAATGTTCCAGCCCTCACATCAGTAAGGGCAAGAGGCAGACTACCTGTACATAATGGGAAGATATTGGAAGCATAATGTGTTGTCTAATGGTAGATCCTGCTGCCATATGGCATCACGAAAATTGTGACCAAGTCCCAGGTTTCTGATCTGACTTTCTACCTTATTTAAACACAATTGTAGGGTTTCAATTGTTTCTCTTACCATTGACAATGCAACATTCATACTGTACTGTATATTGTTTCTTACTCTTGATTTAATTTTTTTTTATTTATGGTTATTATTATTCGTATTTTATTACTGTATTATAATTTTATTTTTATTTTGCATTAAAATTTTATTTATTTGTATTAATTATTATTATTATTATTATTATTATTATTATTATTATTATTATTATTATTATTATTATTATTATTATTATTATTACATTTTCGCCCCCCAGGCCCCGATGTGGGTCAGTGACCTGTGCTCGGATGGGCTCATCCCTGTAAAAAAAAAGTTGTAGCTTTAAGTAATACGTACTACTATGCCACAGAGAATAAAAACCCAAGAAAAACATGAGAGTGGTTATATTAACCCTCAAGGCTCACAACCTTTAAAGAGGGCAGTACGGTATTAGAAACAAGGTCAATCGAGTGTTGGTAAACAAATGCCAGACGTCTGGTTAATCCCTTCACTACAGGGTTGCCGCTTTTAATATTTTATTTTTGCTAATACCAGATGATTTTATTCAGTTAAGAGGGGACCCCCATCCACAATGGGTTAATGAGACTGAAGTATTGAGCACATATGTGGACACAGAACAATCAGAGGAGGGCGCTGGTGGAGCGGTACCGCTCTTGCCTCGCAAGCAAGATGTCACAGGTTTGATTCCCAGGCCGGCGGAAGTTGTTTGGACACTCTTCCTAGTCCCCTTGGTCCCTGTTCACCTAGCAGCAAAGTAGGTACCTGCTGTAAATCGAAAGCTGCGAATTCGTATTCAGGGACAAGTTGTTGGAGCTTCCAATAACTTGCTTAGACATAACCATTGACTCTTCAGGCTTCTATGCCCTTAACTCATGAAACATAAGGCAAGCATGAACTTAGCATGCCCCCCTGTTGGGCGCTGTAAACGCGTCTGCGCTTCACCTTACACAAGGATGTGGGGGGGGTGACCAATAAATAAATAATAAAAAATAAAAATCAGATATTGAAATTAGAAGATGAGCCATAGGGTGAATTTTATTTACCAGGGTATCCCCCTCCTTTTAGAAAGACAGGTGCACTACTGAACTGTATGTCAAGGAGTACCTGATAGTAACTACTGTACTGTATGTCCAGGAGTACCTAATAGTAACTAGCAATAATGAGCTTAATGAAGTGGAATCATTCAAATCAATTTGGTGCTTGTTATAGGGCTGACTCTGAATTAGATGGGGAAATGACAGAACGTCATAGTCATTCAGGCAGCATCAAGAGCACAAACTCTCATCGTGGAAGATTTTAATCACATGACAATAGATAAGATTAATCTTATACAAGGTGAGGGAGAAAAATTCCTTGATCTCATTGAAGATAAATGCCTCACACAACATGTGACGGAAACTTCAAGGAGAGGCAACATTCTGGATTTAGTCTTGATGACTGAGGAGGTAATAGTGAACTAGTCCACGTCAGGGAGAAACTAACTCCGGCTAGTGACCACTGCATACAGTACTGTGATGGAATATTATACAATCTTTGAATGTCATCAGAAAGTAGTTGAAGGGTACTTGTCCTGCATAGTCACTCAAGGCAGTTGGAACATCACAAATATCAGAAGCAAGGTCCAATGTTTTTACTTTTCAGTCCATAATCATGTTATAAAAAAAAATTACAATTAATGACGAGCATCGGGTGGTACAAGAAAAGTGGAAATCTTGCACTTTTTTGTTGAAATGAATGGAAAACCGACATGTTTGATTTGTAAGCAACAGGTAGCTGTTGCCAAAGATTACAACGTTTGAAGGCATTATGGCACTAACCATGCCCTGAAGTATACAGTAATACCCCGCTTTACGCGGTCAATTGAACCTACAGAGGCCCGCGTAAAGCGGGAAACGCGTAAATGGGACAACAGAACATATGGGATTAATTGAAATAGAGACTGGGCCGACCCCCAAACTCCACTTTTTCAGACAAAATACGTACGTTGTAGTAAAAATAACATCTTAATTTTATGATGGTATGCACACACAATTAATAATTAAAAGAAATATCAATAATATTAGGTTTTTTAACACTTACATTAGGAGAAAAGATGGCTGGGCACACGGGGATGGAGGGTTGGTTCCAAGGCAGAGGGCAGATTATTGGCCCTCACCTGTATCACTTGTATCAATTGTATCACTATCCACCACAGAGGCTTGCAGGGCCTTTGTCAAACCCGTCAAAGTCCATATAAGTCCATATCCTCACTATCACTGACTTGGGCCGGCTGTGGTGGGTGGCGGGTGAAGAACTCGGTCATGTTTTGATGACTGGGCGACCTTGTGCGCACCCTGCCCGCGCCGCTTCCCGCGTATATGAGTAGATGCACCGCGTAAGGCGGGAATTCCGGTTCTGGCGGTGTACCGCATAAATGTAGAAACGCGTAAAACTGAAACGCATAAAGCGGGGTATTGCTGTAATAAATATATGCTGCAGTTAAGACAAGTTACAGGATTGCCCATGAAATAGCTTGAAATCAAAGCCCTTTTCTGAAGGGAATTTTATAAAGAAATGTATGTTGGTGGCTTCAGAAGATATTTGCCCGGAAAAACATCAAGCATTTGCAAACATTAGCCTCTCAAGAAATAAAGATGCAGAGAGAAATAATAAGTTATCAGAGAATATTAACAGTCAACTCAAAGACAAAGTTAAGTCCTTTACTGCATTTTCTGGTGCAATTGATGAAAGTACCGATGTAACTGATGTAGCATATCTTGCAGTTTTTATATACAGTTCACAGAAGAGTTTGTGGAACTGGTACCAATGAAAGGAACAACAATAGATGATAACATCTTTGCGAGTTTGGTAGGGCCCTGGATAATTTAGGTGTTGACTGGGTACAACCTGTGAGTCTGGCTACAGATGGAGCACCACAAATGGTGAGGAGAAAAGCTGGCATGGCAACAAAATTAAAGGAAAGCTACTAGCTGTGAACCCAAACCATCAATTTCATAATTTGCATTGCATTATACATGGAGAAGTGTTGTACAGTAAAACATAAAAGATGGATAATGTCATGGATGTCATTATAAATACAGTAAACTTTATACGAGCACGAGGTCTGAACCACAGACAGTTCAACTGCTTTTTGGAGGAAAATGAGAACACACACAGACTGTCATATCACACTGATGTTCGCTGGTTAAGTCGGGGAGTCGTACTGAAGCGATTTAATGAATTGCGTAGTGAAATACAGATGTTTATGAAACAGAAAGGAAAGGATGTGCATGAATTGAAAGATAATGAATGGGTTCAAGATCTATCTTTCATGGTAGATATTACAGAGCACTTAAATGACCTAAACACAAAGATGCAAGGATGCAATAAATTGGTAACAGAGTTTAATGATTGCATTTGTGCCTTTGAGATGAAACTGCAGTTTTTTGAAAGGCAACTTGCAGAAAGTAATCTTTCACACTCTCCGACCTTAACGTCCCTGCAAGGCACACCTGAGCTTCATGTTGATACCAACACAGAAAAGTACTGCATCAAGATTTCCAAGTTAAGGAATGAGTTCCAAGAAAGATTTGCTGACTTTAAATATCTTGAGAGAGATTTTTCCATTTTTCAGAACCTATTCTCTGTCAGTGTTAATGAGGTGTGATTCTGTTTTGAGGAACACATTTTTGAGTGTCAATGTTGGCACATTTTATCAGTAAGTGGGACCAAATTATCCCGGGATTAAGTGTTTTGCCAAAAAAGATAATGTCCATGTTTGGAAGTACATGTGTTTGTGAACAACTCTTTTCTGTAATGAACATTAACAAATCTTGGCTTCATTCTCAACTTACTGATATGCACCTGAATTCAATATTGAATGTTGCTGCAGCTCAGTCATTAGCTCCAAACTTTGATGCATTGATCCACACCAAGAAGTGCCTAGTATCAGGGAGCAGCAGTAACAGGCAATAAGATTAATCATGGTAACTATATATTATTACTGCTTACTACTTCTGTACTTTGCTGTCACTCAGAATCACGTATGACAATCATCCAGTTACGTTACAATGATATGAGTTATTAAGGATATACAACACATAACACAAACATTTTCTTTTCCTTCTCCCGCCAGAAAGAGCTTTGCACTCGCCCATAGGCCGGGGGGTGGCTGGCTGGCTGGCTGGCTTGTCCCGCAATCTTGAGTAGACTTAAGACCTCACTCCTCAGCCGCCAGCGCTCTAATTTTGCTGCACTACTCCCTGAAGGGGTGATCGCAATGTGCTCATAATATGTGTATGTACTCATATTAAATCTGGCCCGCTGTTGCAAATGAGTTTGACACCCCTGCTCTAAGGGATGAAAACACTGTGACCCTTAAGGATGGTACACAGACAGCAGATGCCCTAAATACATCAGTATTCACACAAGAGATGATGGATAACATGCCAGTACCTCAGGGGTGGAAAATGAATTAAGAGAGATTGCAATTACAGATGACATCATCAACAAAAGCATAACTAGCTTGAAAGAATTCAAAGTCCCTCGAGCAGCACAGACCAAGATGTTAAAGGAGATGGCAAACTACTGTAGATTTGCACTCCACTAAGAATCCTTTTCAGAAAATCTCTGTGTCTAGGAAAAGCGTCTAGGGACTGGTAATCATCCAGTGTTACCTTAGTATATGTGATGTGTAGAAAAAGTGCAGCAGAAAACCATAGGCTGATCAACCTAACATCACTTACATGAAAACTTGTTGAGAAAATTCTGAGGGACACCATCATCAAACACCTAAACAAATAAAATCTTGTCTATACACCACAACATGGTTTCACAAAGAAAACATTGTCTAACAAATTTACTCACTTCCTTTATATGGTACAGACTATGTGGACCAAGGTTGTACAGGGATTGTCATTGACAAAGTCCCACATACATGGCTAGCTACTAATATCCAAGCACAAAATAAACAGCCATCCTGTTTGTGATCTATATTAACGACACTGAAGAAAATATATCGAGCCACATTGTCAAGTTTGGGTAGCCATAAGGTAAATACACTCATACTCTTCCATGATGGTTATGTTCACATACAGTACAGTACATATCCTTCTTCCATGATAATAATACTTCTATGCTCACATTTTTCCTTGATGCATGTCTTCAATTTAATTTGCTTCCCTTTGGTCACACACACACTAGTACTATTTAGGCTAGTCTGCATATTTCTTCCATTTAGCATGCAGTACAGTATTTGCACTCCATAAAAATGTTGGAACTGTGCAGCTGAGATTTGTGTGCAACCAGTAACAGGCAATTTCTCTATAAAAGGCATTTGTATGTTTCCTGTAGGAGTTTTGGGGGAGAGGGTAGATAAGGGAGGAACCTTAATTAGTAAGTGGGAATTTCAGTCATGAATTTCACCAAGTTAGTGTTGCATTGTATGAAGACATAAAAATGCTTGATTAATATTGATATTTAGTACAGTATTGCAAATAAATTGATATAAAATTGTTAAAGATACCCAGTTCTGGCTCATTTTAATGCTGAATTTTATGTATGCATGAAAACATTATTTTTTAAGATATGGGTGGGGAAAAAAGGCTTAAAATAAAGAATATTTACCGTCAATGTCACAAACAAATTCTCGCTTTCGGAGAAGTAGGGCGGTTGATTCTTAGCTTAGTATTGTCAGCTAAAAAGGGGGGGGGGGGTTACAATTCTATAATTGAAGTCAAGTGTCGGTCAGGAAGTAAAATAATGTACTTATTCCCAAGAATGTATTGTTTGTTTGTTTTTACTTTCCATCATTTTCAGACTTGTAGGGGATCTTCTACCTGAGATGGAGAGTGATAGTGAGATATGATGTGTTGCCTGCACTTGTTCAACACCAACAGCTGCAGCAAGGAATTTAATATTACCTAAAATATTTTTGTAGGAAGTGAGCTGTTTTATATTTCTCTTAAACCCTTCAGGGGGCAAAGTATCCCTGAGGAATTTTGTTTTGGATTATGTCAAACAATTTTATTCAGCTGAGAGGAGCCCCTGCCCGCTAAACGGTTAAACAACATGGCCTACTGTACATCTAAACAACATGACCTACACCTAAACAACATGATGGCCTAAATTTAAACAACATGGCCTACACCTAAACAACATGATGGCCTAATTTAAACAATGTGGCCTACACCAAAACAATAACAGCCTACACAACATGGCCTACTGTGTAGGACAATTTTGTGTTCCTTTTAAATTTAAGAGGAAAAAAAAGTGAAATATACAAGTCATGTCTTTAGTTTAAATTAGTCTATACTGTGTATAGGTCAGTGTAGCATCTATTTTGCTGTGTGCATCTCCCCCCACCCAACACACAGGTTTTTCCTGGTTGATGGAGGGTGACCGGCAACAAGATCAATTAGAATCACACTTTTTCCCTTCTATAGGTTATTATGGTACAAAAAACCTCCAAAAAGTGTATGCCTGTACAGTGTGTATAGTATGAATAAATTGGCAATTTTTAATTTGACACTTGACAAAATAAAGGATATTTTTTTTTAAGTTCTGGACACTGACATAACACATTTTATGTTGACTGAGTGTTTATAATGTTTAATTATTTCTGAGTTGTGTGATGTGTAATGTTTGAGTAGAAAAAATTTGTTTTTAGTGATTTGTTCTGAAAACCAATTATGACGAATGATAATTATCAGGATATATTTTGAATTTAGTTGACAGACATATATACAGGGGGTCCCCGGGTTACGAATGGGTTCCATTCATGAGGACGCTCATAAGTCGGATTTGTACGTATTTCGGAACACATGCTATGTGCATACCATACTTACAAAATAATGTTTAAATTCCACCAATGTCATAGCCTAAGGCCTTATATACATCTAAAATCACTTAATTCAAGACAAAAGAAGAAATAGAATGACAAAATACAGTAAATTTCAAGTTTAACCCCGTTAGTAATGCGGACGTTCATAAGTCAGGGACCTGTATATAAAGTATAATGACCATATAATTTACTGCATATTATTATTTTTTTTTCATTTCCTTAAAGGTAATGTATACTGTAACAGCCTCAAGCTAAGTCAATTGTTATATTGTATGTATGTGTATTTGATGCACACACACACACACACATATATATATATATATATATATATATATATATATATATATATATATATATATATATATATATATATATATATATATATATATATATATATATATATATATATATATATATATATATATATATATATATATATATATATATATATATATATATATATTGTCACTCCAACTTGCCCTATTCTTGTACATCTTATATATCAATTAAATTTCTTATTTTGTCTTAACCTGAAATGTTGAGACTATATTTGTGTGCCTGATGATAAAAATCTTTTAGACAAGACCTCTGCTTTATATTGCATTTTGATGAAACAAAGATAGGATATTTTCCCCTAAGGAAAGATCTCATGTGGCATTGCACTTGAGCAGTTGTGGGCCTTGTTTGACGTCTCACAAATAAGCATAACACTGAAAATAATAAACAATTTACTTTATGAATTAATTATTTACTTTTAGATAAAATACAATCTGAATTGATCATGCTATTTAGTCCAATGCCCATCACTGTTGATTGACATAAGGTTTTCTTAACATTTGTATAAGGAACACTTTCTCCATACAATGTAATTTTTCCCACAGCCACTTTGCAGGCATCTTTCATGGCCTACCTTGACCCCATGATCTCTCATCCTATCTTATAAACATTAAAGAGTCATTTATTCTCTATTACAACATTTTATAATTCTATTATTTATTCTGCCATATACAGTAAGTCCTCGCTTAACGTCGGGGTTACGTTCCTGAAAACCCAACGTTATATGAAACAACGTTAAGCGGATCAATTTTCTCCATAAGAAATAGATAAAATACGGGAGTTACGTTCCTGAGCCTCCCTCTGCCCCATGAAATACATTACATATACAGAAATTCAATGGCATTTTTATAGAAATTTGTGGATAGAATTCATTGAAAAGCTTCTTAAGTTTGTTTCTAGGGGTTAAACTGAGTGGGCCTGTGTACAGGATGGTGAAATAGATAGAATATTTATGGATGGTGTGGATTTGAGGCTGTGTGGGACTAAAAAACCTATTAAGGGTTTTGCCAATATAAGTGTCTGTAAATCTCTTAGGGAAACCATTGTTAAGGAGAAGTTCCTTTATGTATTTTAGTGCAATGTCCAAGTGGAAATAGCTTGAACATATATTAAAGGCTCTGTTGGTAAGAGTACGTACTGGATTACGTTTGTAATTAAGAGGAATGAGAGATGAAAATTTTGAACTCAAACCAGTGAAAGTTGGTTTTCTGTATAAGGCTGTCTCGAAACTATTATGAAGATGGTGGATATTAACATCAAGGAATGGTAGAATATTGTCCTTTTCCAATTCACAAGTAAATTTGATGTTGCCCTGTTTCGAATTGAAATAATTTAAACAAACACGAACGCTGTGGAAGCCTAACAGAGACTGGCTTGGAATCGCTTGGGGACGCTGTGACATTCCACGAGTGAGAGACAGCACACAGAGAGATGGTGATGCACCATAAAAAGTAGTTTATGACAACGCAAAATGACGTTGTACCGAGTTATTGGGACATTAAACGAATTTTTGTTATCTAAAGATTAGCAATATATGTCGTGCCGAAACAACTTTAAGCGGGCTGACGTTATACGAGGACTTACTGTACTACGTATTGTATTGCACAGTTTGTGAAATTGTACAGTCAACCAAAGATGCACTGAACCCACCCTGGGTCTCGTGTTCACAAATTTACCTGGCAATACTTGGTAAAGTAAGGCTGTATGTAATGGTGATTGTGATTGGTGGATCAATTTTTGGCTGTACCACTGTCAAGATAAATATTACACAAACCAAAGGTAACATTTATAATTCATCATTATTTTAGATCTTGAGAAGATTCCATTTAATGGATGCCTCTTAGTACCAGACTTCCCAGTTGACAGATGTTTTACTGCAATGTTTAAGAAAACATAAGACCAGCACATGTACAGTACAGTCACAGTCCTGTCACTTCTGCAGCTCCATGTACCCTGAGATTATGACTCATGAATCCAAAGCATTTATGGACAGATAAATGCATCAGTTTCTTCTGCTTCTGGCTCATGAGTCCAAATCTCAGAGCTCATGGAAAGCAGAAGAGGTGGATAGGACAACAGTAATTTTAAGGTTTTATGAGTGATCATGTAGGGAGGCTGGAGGGAAGTCACATTTCTGTTAAATATAGAGAAATAGCTGAGAATATAGGTAATTACTGTATATATTACTAAGACTAAAGAAAGACCACACTGGGAATTAGTGTACTACTTCCTTGATTAAGTTCATGCTTGCTAAAAAAAAAGCTGTAGTGTAGTTGGGGGAAAAAAAAAAAAAAAAAAAAATTATATATATATATATATATATATATATATATATATATATATATATATATATATATATATATATATATATATATATATATATATATATATATATATATATATATATATTTTATGTAAATCCACAATGAAAACGTGGATAAGATAAATCTTGATAAAATCACACGGGAAGATGGAAACAACGGAGTACCTTAGCTTTCGTCTTTATTCAACAACTCCGTTGTTTCCATCTTCCCGTGTGATTTTATCAAGATATATATATATATATATATATTATATATATTGGGTGAGATTTTTGCTCTTCTCATTTTCATTTTGTGGTTGACTTGGGTTACCTTTATAGTGCATTAAAGGAAGTCAACATTGCTTTATTTTTATCCTTCCAAATGTTATATATAAGAAATCCTGATTAACAATACTGTATTACAATACCTGTATTAATAAATGTGCTTTTTTTTTCTTCTCATTTTTTTAACACTGATCGGCTCGTTAGCTGCTTGCGTGATTGGTCACGTCTCTGTTATGCACTGTTGGCAAGTACTGGATCCTGAATGTATCTGAACCTGCTCCAGTGCTGGTCAAGTCTTGTGTTGAAACAGCTCACACTCAGTGCCATCACTACACTCTCTGGCAGATTGTTCCACAAGTTCACAACTCTCACTCCGAGCTGTGACCCCTTGTGGGGCGAGCGTCCGCCAACTCCAGGTAAGGACACTCGAGTGAGTAGTCCCCGTTGAGATGTTTATGCATCTCAATTAGGTCCCCCTTTGCCCGTCTGTAATATAAGCTAGGCAAGTGCAGGCGCTCTAATCTCTCGGGGTAACTGATGTGCCAAAGTGCAGGCACCAGTCTGGTGGCCCTCCTATGGACATTTTCAATTAACTGACAGTCCCTAGCATATCTCGGGGACCAGATGGGGTGATAGTACAGGTTGACAACCCTTTATCCAAAATTCCGAAAACCTCTGAAAACCGGTTTTTGGGGGGGAGGGGGGGGGGGTATTAACCCACTCGGGCACAGGTCACTGACCCACATTGGGGCCTGGGAGGTGAAAATGTAATAGTAATAATAATTATAATAATAATAATAATGATAATACAGTAATAATAATAATAATTCATAGTAAATTTAATTTTTAATAAAAAACACACAAAAATAAAATAAGAATGATAATAATAATAACAATAATACTGTAATAATAAAATAATAATAATAAAGAAATACAAGAATGAAAAAAAGATCAAAAGCGAGAAACACGACCTAGACCTATGAATTATTATTATTGTTAGTATTATTATTATAATTATTATTATTATATTTTATCCCCCAGGCCCCAATGTGGGTCATTGACATGTGCCTGGGTGGGCTGATCCCTGTAAAAAAAAAAAAAAAAAACATTCTGAAATCTGAAAAATTCCGAAAACCGAAATGCATCTGGTCCCAAGGGTTTCGGATAAGGGATTGTCAACCTGTACTCCAGGCAGGGAAACCCCTCGTTCTTGAAAGACCATTACGGGGTATGGACTGTGTGTGTGTGTGTGTCCTAATAATTTAGATGCTTGGTTTACCTTCAAAACATGGACCAAGAACTTCAGTTCATTGTCAACATACACACCAAGGTCCTTTTCACATTCAGTCTCAATTAATGCAGTTTCTTCATCCCGTTGGAGCATGTGATACGCCTCCCTCTCGTTGTATGTCCCCAGGGGCAGCCTCTTACACTTCATGACATTGAATCTTAGCAGCCATTTCTTCGACCATTCTTGAAGCTCACAGACATCCTTCTGCAGCTCTTCACAGTCTGCTTGGTTATTAATTTCCCTGAATAACTTGGCATCATCAGCAA